TTTATAAATGAGGGGCCTGGGAGGACAGCCCAGGAGGCAAAAGCTGCTTCTGTTTCTAAACGGGCTTATTCCTTAGGACGTGATCTCAGAAAGACATACTGCTTGCCAGCTTGTAGGAAAAAGAACAAAGGGAGGACCTTCTTCCTCCATAAGGTCATCCAGGAAGCCCAAACGTACATTCTGAAGTTCTGGCTGGCAGAGAAGGAACCTGCATGGCTTGCAGTCACAGCAGGAGAGACAAGAGAGCACTGTGATTTATATCAGGTTTTTAGTCTACTCTGTGAACTACAGAAACTCAGTGCTGCTAGAAGGAATTGTGATTAGATCAAGATGGGCCTCACCACGTCTAGTTGTCAGATCTCAATAGATTCCCCTCTTAGTGCAGGTTAATGTTAAAGGCAAACCCCCCCCAGGCACAACAAAAGAGTTTCATTATACTCCACACGCTTGGTGTACTTACTAACCAGCTTCTTATGTGATTTCAGTTTACCCTGTATTGATTCGCAACAGTGTTTCTCCCAATAAAATGCGATGTGCAGATGCTGTAAAATATATTATTGGAAGCACCTAAATGCTATGTCTATACAGCCCACAAAATCACAGGAGCAGAACAGCCACACCTGTGAAAGTTTTGATCCAACACACTAGTGACAAAGCAGAATATGAGGAAGAAGAAATGCTACGAGAAGGAATTAAAAACCCAACAGCACCTAGAAAAGAACTACGAGAAGGTAACAGCAACATAACTTAAGCCATGTGGATAACAGGTAGATTGACAAGAACATTATTCTATGGGTTAAAAGTTACCTTAGTAGGTCGACGATTGAAAATATTTGGAGAGAAAGGCTGCTCCATCTTATGTTTTTCTGCTAATATTTACATTCCTGAAGAAAATCAAACACAGTGATAAAAGCCAGGAGAGAACTAGTTACAAAATCAGGTGCGTAACGATGAACAGCTTTGGTTCTGCTTTAAACTGCTGCCATCTCCTGGTCTTGCTCTTCATCACCAGGGCTCAGCGCTTGCAATGCTTCAGCAATGAGCGGTCATTAGGTCTGGTTCACAAGTGTCGAAACAAGACAGTATAAGGAAAAACTAAAAAAAAAGTTTGTCCAAGACCTCAGAGCGCCTCTGGCCATCAGCAGGTGTGTAACAGACCTACCTCTATCACCCCACCATTATCTGCTGCTGTTGCCGGGTGTGAACGGCATTCTGCAGTAGTCTGCCATCCTGTGTACAAGCCGGAATACACAAAAATCCTGGGATGTCATGCTGAAATTGTATTTTGTTAGAACCTGAGGATTATGGGAGGACATGCCTTCTGAGTTGCACGATACCAAAGTTACCAGCAAGAAAGACGCTGAGGACTGAGTAAGTCCTGCCCAAAGCAGCCAGGCTGTAGCTTTATATTCATCCAGACCTGATTCTGCTGAGCTTCATGCAAGGAAATGCCCAGGAAAGAAGAAGGGTTTCCCTTAAGACAGCTCTGGGAAGAAATGAGGGTTCCCTCTATGGAGGGAGACTCTTTGACAGGATCCCAAGTGACAAAGGGCAGCCACAACACTTTAGGCCCATCTGTAAAACGAGATTAAAGACTCCGTCCACAATCAAACTCCCACAGTGTAACTACTCAGTAACTGAACCATGCCCTTGTATGCGCTATTGGCCCATTGCCTGCACATGGTAAGCCATCTCAGATAACACAGCTGAAAGGTCGTAAGCCACCAAACCCATCTGGTAACTTGCCATATATAGCCATATTTATATATATGCAATAAGAAATTTGAATCAATTCATCCAGGATAAACTGCAAAGCTACCACAGAGATTTTTCAGAAAAAGCTAGTGAACTACCGGACTCAGGTGTCAGTCTTTAATTACAACTACAGCCAGCTCATCTGGAAGGGTACAATCCTACACCTGTTCAAAAGATCACTGTATTACTGTACTTGAACAAAGGCCAGATCCTGACAACAAAAAGCCCAGATAAAGGGGGAAAGCACCTTGACTGTGCACCTACAGCACCTCAACAGGACTTCAAGGAAATGCCCTGAACATCCCCAATCTCTGTTCACATGATTCTATGATAATAAACTATTAGTCCAAAAACATGAAAAAAAAAAACCAAACCCAAAACATTTCTGATGAGGTCACCTCCAACTTAGTCAGATGTTATGATGAGGGCGATTTGGGCTGATAGAAACATGCAGCCTGATCTCTGCACAATTACAAGGCAATTAGCAAGCCACAGATGGAGTTGTTACTCTACTCAGCACCTGGTAGAAAGCTTAGTGCTTGCTCATGTGCTAGAGGCAGCCAGTTGCAAAGTCATAATAAAATCCTTCTTGAAGACTATTTTTCAACAGGATTTTTTTAGCTCCTGCTCAAAATCCTCATTTCTCAGAAGAGAGAACAAGTGTGGATTTCCTGTCCACAAAATTCTGCTTCACTAAGTGTCTAATGTTGCCTATTTCCAAAGTCATCAAAAGAGGAGAAACGTTTATAACAAATACGAATGAGTTTAGACAACAGGTTGCAATGACTGAGATGCACCATTTACAGAGGAACAGGCCATAAGGATAGATCCATCTGTACCATCCTTTTCAGTAATCTTTCTTTCAACATCTGATACATAAATTTTATCTAAAAAGAGATTCCAGGCAGGGCTGCATTCCACCTGATCACAGAGAAATATCTTAATAAATATCAACTTGCACACAAATATAACTTATCAGCAAACACAACTCCTCGTCATCAGGAACCCCCACTGGAGTTTCACATGCAGAAAGCAGCAATGAGCTAGATGGTTTGACTAGGAAGATGAACCTTAATTAGGGATGGATAGCTCCTGTGCCTTTGAGGGAATCACTGTGCCACAAAGGCATGAATTTCAAACGGGACCAAAGCAATAAACTTAACTAGAAGGAATGTCTGTATCTACTAAAAAATTGTAACCAGACTAAATATTGTATTAAGTCATCGGCTATAAGAGCCTCAAACCTGAAAAAAAATCTCTCCCCATGCACCCTTAAAAAGAAAGAATATAATGCCCTGTCTACAGTAAAACCTGGGAAACCAGTACACTGAACACCAACCACGTGATCCTCTCAAAGCCTGCAGATCTGAAAACACACCACAGGCCTCTCCTCTTCATCACTATCACTCGTCCAAATTGCATTCTCCTGCTGTGAATCCTCAGTTTTGGGAAGAGTGGGTGAGTACAACATGAGGCAGGTACTGTGATCCTGCACAGCTTCAGTAGCTGTAGAGCTGCAATCAACTGCAGCAGCTGCAAAGGTTTTGCTGTCCCAGCCCATCCTCGTTACTACCAAGGAGCTCTTTAGTTGAACTGATGTTTTATTAGGAATCCCTATGCTACTTTTGATGGTTTATTTAGCAAATGGAGCATACGCTTCCCTTTGGTATTTCTACTCTTCTCTCCATTCATTTAAGTCAGTATTAAGTTAATGTACTTTTGAAATAGATACTGGTGCTCTCCTAACAGCCAATGGTTCATTTACCAAAACAGTTAGTTCCATAGAGATCAACGAGCAGAAAGGGCAAGCAAAACCTTATTCATTTCTCCTGAAGTACCACATCTTTTCAGCCTGAGCTCCTGAACTCATATCCATGTGCCTGTAATCAACAGAAGAAACTTAAAGAGTTGTAACCAAGGCTAGGAGAAGAGTAGGTTATATCCCCGTCCATAGCACACTCCATCACTGCCTGAGAGCTAGTGAATGCCAGAGGCCAGCACTGAAGTGGAACTAAAGCAGCCCAATCGAGTACTTTCAGAGGCTGCAAGGCACACCCTCAACAGTAAATTAAAAAGCAGGTGTTCCCCTATATACCTCAGAATTGCCTAGACAGAGAGAGTATCTTCAAGTAGTCATCAATATTCATGCAGAAACCTGGCATAAAAAAAATAAATCAGGGAGGTATACAAAAAGAACAGCTTGTAAAAGAGTCGGGTATCAGAGGCAATAGGCACTTATGTCTTCTGACAGGCACCACTGCTTACAAGTTTGTGCCTGTGAAAGCCAGACACCTTTAGCTTTAATGTCTTTAGAAAGCTGTAAGAAAAGCAATCAGCAGCCTTCACTGTCCTACTAAAGCGGATGGTACCTTACCACCTGCACTTGATTTATCCAAACCTGTCCAAAGACAGCTGTAACAGGACAGCAATTTGCTTTATGTGGTTTGATTCACACACTATAGAAAGAGCTGTTAGATCTGCCCTAATAATGTGAAATTACATCTTTAAGCAGAGTCAAATCAGATCTGCGTTCTAAAAGAGCTAAAAGAGTAGCAGTTACATCCTTAAACTCCGAGCTGCAGAAGTTTTCTTCCCTGCTAGGAGTTACAATATCAGTATGCTCACTGGACTCCAGCAGATCACAGGAAAAAATATTGAATGAAAGGATTATGCAATGGGGCACTTCAACCAATTGGCCACCATCTTTTAGTTACAAAATAATAGTGGAAGATGTCTGGCATGGAAATGGACCCTTCATTAACTGTGATAAAATACTGATTTAGTAAGTAATTTACTCCTGTGAAATTCTTGGTCTTGATCTCCACACCTGCTCTGATGACTCATTTAACTTTATTAAAAACATAACTATTGATTTTCTCCTCTCACTACAGGCCAGTGGATTTATCTGCATGAGTGAATGAATTAATCCAACCTCTCACTCCAAGAATAGCCAAAGTCTGCAGGAAAGCAATAGCAACAAGCTGTCACCAAGGTAGCAGCACCAAGTATTTCTTGCTCTTCTGACTCATCTGACCAGGAAGTTAAACTTCTGCAGCAGCACTCAAGACAGGCAAAAGCCCAAACAGATCTAAGAACAAAAGGTATTTCCTGTTTTCTGAGGCAACGAGTGCTCTCTAACTAATGCATTCATCACAGTGCACAAGTTGAAATTAAAAAGCTGTCATGTTTCTGATTATCTGCCCATTACAAACTCAAGCAATGTGCTGGAAGGACATATACGTTACCATGGGATTGGAGTCTGCAATCAGGTCACGCAGAGAATCCAGAAATCCTTGGTCCTCCACCATCTGGGCGTTGATGTCATGCAGCTTCGCCACACAGACAGCTGCAGTCTTTCGTACATAAGGGTCTTCATCCTTCAGACACTTGCGAAGAGGCTCACACAAATACTCTGTGATCTTGTCCACCCTGATGCATCCCATTGTACGGACAGCCAGAGCACGGATGAGAGGGTTTGGGTCTTCACAGTCCTGCAACGGGACAGAATACGCAGTAAATAAATCTGGACCACTAGCCACTGACACCTTCCCTGCAGCCAGAATCAGGCTGTTCTTATTTAAAACAAAAAGCATTCTCTCTGATTACATGCTAAAAAAGGCAATTATTTCAGATCAGGGATAAGAGGTGGAACTTACTGGTTCACAGAAACATTCTACACTATCTGAAGATGTTTTCATGCTATGACAGCTTGTAAAATTGTGATCTCAGTGTCCCTGGGTTCTCCTAGGCGAAGCTTCTTTCAACACGATTTAACAGCTACAGCTAAGCTAGAGAGGCAGCTCTCACCACCCAAAAGCTAGCCACAGGCAACTCTCAGGCAAACTAACATACTGGTTTCCAGCCGCACTGGTTTAAAGGAGTAAGAGAATATAACGGGAAAAGTCAACAACTAAACACAACAGTCAGCAAGGTCTGTTTCTCATAGGCCATCAGTTCTAGACACAAGCATCCCTTAAGCGTACAACATATAAAGCACTAGGCAAAGGCTAGTCTAGAGGTGCTTTTCTGATGAGGAAAAAGCAGAAGGGAATGTAAGACTTCATACTTCAAGGTTACATGATTTTCCATACATCCAATCCACCTACATCTCTGAGCAATGCTCCTCCAAAATCATCCTATAAAAGGATGGCTGCAGAATGACCTACAAAAGCATAAGGTACATTTACCTTTCACTGTTCAAATTTCTGACAGCTGAAAAAACACCTGAGTGCATCACTTTCAAAGCATACAAGGGAAGTGCCACGTCTTACCAGTGCATTCAACACCTTGAACTGAACTGCCTGTGAAGTGCTGAGCTAGTGCAAACTAGCGTCAACCCTTTCTTTACTAACACTTGTACCTCAACTTGCCAAAAGCGACATCAGACATTTCCTTGCATGGAAAAGCATGAAGTTGGAAAATACCACGTATGTTTGTTAGTCCACTCTATGAGAATTACATTTTAAAGATATGACAGACAAAAATAATCCTTCCAGAGAGGAAGACAGGGACATCTTCTCCAGCCAGAAGAGCAGACTTGCTCTCAGTCTAGGTCTTCTTACCTCTCTTGGCCTCAGGCACCACAACAGCAACTTAAAACATGAGCAGATTCCCCACTGTCTCAGATTTTACAACACTCTAGGAGGAGTCGCAAACTTTTTCTAAGCACCGGGTTTTAACTTACTTCAAGTGGGACTGAAATAACATTTCCTAGATAAGGACGGGCAACTTGACAACAGAAGTAAAGGCAATACAGAGATCAGGCTGTTATTTTTCCAGGGACTTGTCTTTCAGTTTCACCATAGATAAAGGCTTTTCACACAGAGCACAGCTGAACCATTCAAACAAGTAGATATCCATATATCAGAGATACTACAAAAGTTGGAAGACGAACAGTATAAAATCTGTTATCCTATACCAGAAGTTGGTCTTTAATGATGATTAGTAAAACAATAGAAGCAGCTTACCCTGGAGCAGGCTCTCTCATAAGCACCTACAGGGGTGCTTAAGTCATCTCTTCCACAATAACTAGCAGCAGCAAGTAAAAGAGAGGATCCAGACCTACTGGATTCAGCACTCTCCTCTACAAGCATCCCCAGCCCAGAGATTCAAGTACAAAACCAGAGATAAACAACAGCTCACAAAGGCTAACAGACAAAGCAGATGTGGTGACAGTTGCCATGCTAGACCATTTTCTGATGAGCCGTGGGAGCAAGTTACCTTCACGAAGCTGTTGACAGCCATGATGGCCATATCTGGCTGACTTTTGGCATAGTTCATCAGGTACAGGTAGACCAGCTTCTTCAACTCCAGGTTGTCGGTCTGCATGCAGTTCACAACATCAGGGAAGAGTGAGCTGGACAGACAGCAGTAAGCAAGGACAGAGAAAATGCAGTGAGATCGCATGGTATGCAAAGGGGACAGTAACAATATCAAGGAAGCCAGGAAAACTGGAGTTTCACTTTAAGTAACCTGTTATCTAATGAGAGGTCAACTTCTCCCCCAAAACAGTTTGCAATGGCTTTTATAATAATCCTTTAATCTCTTCTAGGGCATTAACATAGGTCAGTTCTGGAACAGGTGAAAACTAATGCAATTTCCTAAAAGTGTTTTAATTGGGGAGTTCACCAAACAAGAAAATTCTACCACGCCAGGCCTGGAAATGAACCTGCAAGAAAAAAAAAGTTGCATAAAAAATGTTTTGGTAATGCAGGACACCTCCAAAGAACCTGCCAAATTTCAGGCTATTCAACCCTAGAGTGATTAGGAGTTTAAACACTGACAAGCTGAGTTTCACTCAAATATCAAGCAGCAATCTGTAAACAGCACTGCAGGAGAATATGGGAAGTTACACAAGGATATCTGCAGCTCTCAAGTATGGTGTAGAGATCTAAAGGTGAAGGGCAAGTGCTCTTGGCCAAAAAGACTATTTTTTCTTCTTTCCAGTTTATCTGTTCCTTCATTCTACGATGAAGTCATGATGCTAAATTTGCAAACTTTGTATTAATTTCTGTGGCAACAGACCACACTGCCATGAATCCAGGGCTACTGTGACTTTATGGTAGACTACAGTATCAGAAGCTGGAAGGAAGAAAGCATTCACTCAAGCAAGTTTTTCTCGTTGCCTCAAAGACAGAAAAAAGTATTGGGGACAGTGTTGCAGAAGGTAAACACCCATGTCCTTTAGTCGCTATGAGGCAAAGGTTCAATTTAAAAATCACTTATTTTAAAGTGTAGCTTAGATTTATGCTATGACAAGTAAGGCTAAGAAAAACACTTGGAATTACCTTTCTAACACTAAAACCCAGGCTAGCAAGCAGTGAGAAAACACCACCTAAAGTGACATACAAAATGGCTGAATTCTGGATGGGTTTTTAAATAAAAAGGGCTATTGGCACCTAGCTAAACCAGCACTGAAAACACTTGTTTCGTTTGCTCTCAGTAACAGGAATGAGCTCAAGAGACCTGTGACTCAACAGCACAGGCAAAAACACAGCCAGCCTCGCTACCCAGCCACACCGAGATGACAAACTCAGAGCTGTTCCATGGAGATGTGTGCTACTACACCCAACTGAGTCCCAGGACAACCAAAGCTGCTACAAGTGCAAGAAAAGTTGCTCTTACCTGACATCCTTCCCCACGGTCATGGCTGCAATAACCTTCTTTACGGCTTCTTTCCTCTTCTCTTTCTTTTCATTATTGAGTTCAGCCTTCAGTTCAAAAATCTCTCCTGGCAGAAGACAAAACAGATTGAGACTCTTGGGAGAAAAGGGTCTCGCTTTAAGGATAATTCAAGAGCGACTTTTTAATTTCCCAGCCTGTTGTTCCCATAAAACTGGTATAGCAGCATGTGGAAGCTGTCAGACCTTATGGAGAACAGGGTTCAATGAGAAGCAAAGCTGCAACACTCAAGAGAATGATAAGGGCTATACCTTGCTAACGAAAAAGCAGTTAACAAGAACCACACTGCATGTTGCAGCTCTCCCACTTCTAGAACATTAAATCACATCACTGTAGCGTCTGTTTCTCAGAGGCAACTATTATATAACTAGGATGGAAAGATATTTGGAGATACCAGATTCGTGCCTGCAAGAAAAAACTAACTATGCTAGGAATTTTGCCCAGACTTTTTAACTTTCGCTCATCGCCTGCTTCCTGCAAATGCAATGAGAAAACAGCAGACACTAGTGCAGCCGAAATGCTGTGATACACAGTGGCAGAAACAGGAAACTACAAATTTAGTCCAGTGGATTAAATTCCTTCCAAGCTAGAAAGACAGAGCTACTACTAACAAAAGCAGCACGTAACACAGCTCGCCTGGGTTCCAAGGTTGCCAAAGCAGCCTTTTCCACAACACTAAATTCTTCAGTTATTACTGCTTGGAAAGTCAGCTCAAGCTGGATCACAAAAGTGGCAAAGCAAGTTTGCAAATTAAAGCAACACATGCAAAAGACTGCTTATCAGACCTGTTCCAGCCAGAGCAAGTGGCGTGAGAAGGATAATGCTCCTGACCAACAGGCAGCTTTCCCCAGGAAGGACAGTGACCAGTATTCCCCCTGGAAGCCACAGGCTGAGGACACATTACAAATATCAAAATATCTCTGACAAAATACATTCTAGCCCCTGACCTTCGATTCCTACACACCAATGCCACTTTCTCAGATCAGCAGTACTAATTACGGAAGAGCCTGACATAAAGAGACTAGCAGGTACTTCAAAAGAGAAGAGAAGTTACTGTTCTGAAGAACGCAGTGAGGTGACCACTCTTCGTACCTCCTGCCTGAGATGCTCACGTTACTCATGCTGAGATGGTGCCCCGGAGCAGAGCTGAGCCAGGAGCAGCATGCTCCTGAGAGCTCAGACAGTGCAGGCTGGCCTCTTACAGCCATCCCAGAAAAATCTGCCTTTAGGACTGAACTTATACATAGAGCTGTTCCTTAGAAAGATGCCAAGTGTATTTGCTTAATTTACGAGCTCCTTCTGAAGCTTAATGAAACATAAATACATCAACACTGTAGTTTTTTCACTGGCAAGCATTCATCAGAAACATTCAGCCATTCTGAAAAGGAAAGGTTAATGCGAACCATTTTCCACTCTACTGGAGAACGATGAGCAACTTCAGCCTTAAATTGCAGTCAGCAACAGAGTTTTGTTTAAGAACAGGTTAGAAAATAAAATCTGCCCGGGACAGTTTCAGCAGAATAAGCCTTGCTCTGTAACAGGTGAATGGGTAAAATGTCCCCAAAGATCTTTTCCAGTCTTCCTATTTTTAAGGGCAGCAGTTTGTCCCGAGGTGAGGTGACCACCACACCTACAGTAAAGCCAAGGGAAAGTCAAACGGAGCACTGCAGCTTTGGAGGAAACAGCAATAGGATATCCCGTTATCTTTGCAACAGCTTGATGTAGAGATACACACTTATATCTTAAACATTAAACGTCTCTCAACTTAATCCTGTGATGCCCAATGGAAAAACCATCCTCAGTCTTAAATTTGCTAGCTCATAACTAAAACTTTGTCTCTGACCAGATCCGCACTCAAATCCAAATGTTTTGTTTTCTGATCCTTGAAAAAGCAGCAATTTGGGTCATTTTGTGCATCACAAAACTGTATAATACATCAGTATTGTCTTTTGTCACCATGTGACCTAATTTCAAAGTTTCTCCCTGGATGATTAAGATGAGAAACAGGGACAGAGCTAACAGAAAAGCACAAGTTCTTCTGCATGCAGTTAAAAAAGCTCTGTAAAAATAGACACCCACCACCTCCAATCCACTACACCAGCTTAACACTAACCTTTTTTATTGGTCGTGAAGTATTTGGAGTCCGTCATGGTTCCAGTTCCTTAAAACGCCTGAGAATAGTAATAAAAAAAGAACAAGTAGTCAAACAGCATTCAGAGCTGACAACACCCCATTTGCAAGGCAGGAACTCGGAGAAAGGACGGTTGGTGAGTGCGTAACATAAGGGAAGAAGGCAATGCTTTATATCCACAGGCAGGAGCTTCACAATCTTCATTCTGCACCTGCTGCTGATATCACTTGGCAAACCCAGGAATTTAAAGGGCTCAGATGGACAATGTTAGTAAATACACAACAGCCTGAGGTGGATGGGCTGGGAAAGCAGTGGTGCTCAGCCCAGCTTTTTAAACTCTTGATCTCGGAAGGGAAAAGGCGGTTTTTAACTCCTTATAATCAGCAGATTTTGACATGTTCTGCAGCTGCTTTTCCCCTGGGTATGCAATTTCGTTTTCCAACGTTTCAGACAAAGGAAACTGTCATCTCCCCCTAACGATACTTTCCTGTGTTGCATCTTGATGGAAGCAACAATTAACCCTATTTGCAACATCCACCCAGAGGCCCTTTCATTTCTTTCCCTTCTTTTGTGCCCATGAGATGCAAAGCAGGTTTTTTTTAAAAGAAAAGCCATTACTTTTCAGCTCTCTCAAGCTTGAAATTGAAATCTTTCTCTGCCAAGATCTGACATCCCACCTTTGACACACTCCCAAGCTTATTATTTCAGTGCTACACTGCATTTTTGTGGACAGGACTGAAAAACACTGCTGAGCTGCAAGAACAGTCTCACCAGCACTCTTCTTGCTCCACAGAACCAAATTATTAATACTTTAGAATACAGGGATTGCCCAAACATATGTGAATATCTATCATTTTATTCTTACAATTGCCAGCTCTGTGACAAACATGACTCAATTTTCAAGTACTGGCTGAAACACAAGCATAGGAGTGGGCAGTTTTACTGTTTTTGATGAAACAGTCTGCATCAGTGCTAAGAACCTATGACCCTAATGCCATCTGAAAAAAAAGGGGTTTCCTATCTCTTTCCTCCTTTTTCTATTTTTATTGCCCAATTCCCCTTCTCTTGTACATACTTCCATGACCTTAAACGCTGCCAGCAAAGCAGCAGGTCATCCGTTCCCCAAAAGCTGCCTATCTTGCCTCTAAATCTCGCAGGTCTTGCTGGCTCAGCAACAAAAGGACAAGCACAGCTTTGAACTCCAAGACATTTCCCAGCAGTGCAACCAGCTTGCTGTTTCTTAACACTTTCCTTCCTCATCCCTTAACCAACCCCAACACCACTACCATTCTTTTTTCCCCTCTCCACCTTGATCAATTTAATACCTTAGCAGTTAAATTCCCAGCAGCAGCTGCGGGGTAGTGCCACAATTTCTACCACCTTCAACATGCTCTACAGCATGGCAATGCAGAGCAGTCGTAATCTTGTCCAACTGCCAAGCAACCAGATGAGAAACCACCTGTTGCTTAGCCCAATTCCCAGAGCTCCTGCCTGCGTGGTTACTGCCTCATCCCAGTTACGCAGTATTACTGGGTTTGGTTTGATTTCTCTCCTTTTCTGCACCTGCCAAGCTGGACAGCAAACTATGCCTGGGGACAGCTCTGCAAGCGCATTCCTCCTGCAGGAGAGGTTTGCCCTCCTTCGAAAACAGAGGCTGTGTTGGGAAAGCCGCATGAGCCACAACATTGCAACTAAAAAAAAAAAAAAAGCAAAACACAAACTTTCCAGCAAAAAAAATAAATAATCACAGCATCACAAAAAAAGCAGCTGATGTGGGTCTTGTTTTATAATTAAAAATACAGCCCATGTTCAGCTGCAATGTTATTGCTGACACAGTCCTTCGGATTTTAGCCTAGCTTAAAAGATGACTTAAACGTTTTTCTCTAGAAGAGTATTTGGCATGGTGCCGTGCAAAAGGCATTGAATACAGCCTTGCTGTTCTTTGTTTGCATTATATGTGGATTTGTCAACATGGGTCACACCTCCCAGCTGAGCTAGTCCAACATTGTTTTAACAGTGGCCAGAACAGCAAACTAGAGAGAAAATCTAGGAGGGGAAAAAAAAAAAAACCTGCATAAAGCTACACAGAGGAAGAAACCTTGCTGAATTTCAGAGACGATCTTTAATCCAAAAGCAGGACATTTTGCTGTTTTTCTAACGTCAGATCACACACTTGGAAACATGAAGAACCCTAGAAACACTCAGACTCAGATAGGCTAAGCACAGCACATGTTTTTACAACCTGTTTTGATGGATGTAAAGAAGATGTGACTTAGGTCAAAAAGCAAACTACCATATTCCAAGTGCAAGACAGGAGAAAGCTCTTTTTCTCATGAGCACACAGATTTTTGCTTCATGTATGCTTCAGAGCTTGCTTTGCACATAGTTCAGAGACAGCTTGTTAGCAGTATTGAGTATTATCTCATCCACTATTCAAACTCAGCATGGCTTGCAGCAAGTCCCAGATGAAGGCCAAAACCAAAATAGCCCAGATGTACAAATAGCAATGTTTTAAATAACTCAAGAAAATGCCAGCTTCTCATACACGAATCTAAATTGAAGAGAATCAAGATAAGTTATGGCAATGTCACGAACATCCTTGTAATTCTTAGGAAAAAATCTACATCAGATTGCCCCTTCCTTACTATTGGTCTGTGTCCAGCATTTGCTAAGGTGGAAACAGGTAAGAGATGTTCAAGCTGACAGCAAAAGGCTCCTGCTCCAACCCCAGCAAACAAGAAGAGATGAAATAGAAGAATTTCTCCAGAAGCTCTGGCAATGCTTAATGCTATAAGCATGGGCTTGACATTTAAATGTAGACTGAACAAAAAATATGGTTCAATTAAAAGACTAAGGAATCATCATAACCAGAAAGAAGCCTCTTCAGCCCAAAATGAAACAGAAAACTGGATCCTGCATCTGACCCATCCCCGTGACTCCAAACAGCAGCCTGACCAGCTCCCCACCACTGATTTCACACAGGTGTAAACAGGAAGGTGACAGGTTTAAGGCATCAGTATTGATCCAAGCTCCCCAGCATTGAAACAATCCAGTGTTGAACCCCTAAATCTCTGAAGCGATCCCCTGTTTAACCTGGCTTACACTCCAGCTGCTGCCACCACTTATCTGCACCCATTTCACCTGCAAAGCCTCACGAGTAGCTGCACAACAGCCCAAGCATGGCTCAGGCTCGCCGGAGCATCAGGGAACTAAACAGAGCGGCCAAACATGGATGGCAAAGGGAAAGCAGCGCCTCAGCTTCAGAAACCCGCAGCCCTAACAGTGTGTGCTAGGGGCTGGTAATTTGTTCCCATCTTGGGGAGCAAACACCTCTTTGGTGCTCCCCACCCCATTCTCAAACGCCCTG